CGTACCGGTTTCCCATTGGCTTCCTCGGCCTCTACGACAAAATACTGCTTTTCCATAGGCCAGTGACCAATGTGTGATGTGTCGGCCTCCCAGACTGTCACCCAGGGCTCAACCAACCCCGGCCCTGGGCTCAACTGCCTTTGCAGGAGTCGGAGGCCCACGATGCACTTCAACCAACTGGTTTGCGGCAACTGTCTGATACCCACTTTGGGAAAGGCTGAATGAAGGCCTCTCGTGGATATTCTGGCCTGCATTCACTTAGGGCGGGCATGAGGCTTGCTGGGGGCCTATACCCAGAACATATGTATGTCGGCAAGGCCCCGTTGAGGGCTCAATCCTCACAGTAATTATTATTATTATTATATAATATACATCAAGAAAGTGAAAACAGGTTTAAGGAAAACAAAAGATGAAAGGATTTCAGGATGCGGACCTCTGAAAGGCCCCCGGCACCAAACCCCCAAGGTCCGGAAGTTTCGAAGTCCCAAGTCCGTGGCTCCAGTAAGTAGGCCCGGTAGGCCAATAGGGGCATCAGGAGAGGTCAAGTGGATGTGCAGTCGCTCCGGTACCCGACAGAAAAGTCTGGAAGGTTGAGTCGTTGTACAGACGGTCCAGTACCAAGTCCACGGAAGAGTCCGGAAAGTCCAGGTCCAGTCCCACGTCCACAAAATTGCAGCAAGTCCCAGGAAAGTCAGAAAGCTACAGGACCGACAAAATGATTGTGACCGACGGGCCGCGGCTGACCAGCACCGGTCTGGGGCAGGCCAAGCCAAGACCAATTCCTATATTTAGCTGCTACAGTGCAGCAGTGGACACAGTGGTTCATTCCTGAAGTTGCGGAAGCACTACTGCTGCTTGTGTGACCGAGCGACTTGGGCAAGACAACGCTTGAAGAAGAGGGGAGCGTCGACGACAGACATAGCTAGGGTATGCATAGGGAAGCAGGGTGGCTATAGCCGCCAAGGTCTGAGTCTGAACTGAGCGGGTGTATTCAGGGAGCGATCCAAGGCAGGAGAGGGAGAGAGCGCGCGCGTGCGCGCGCGCGCGCGCAAGAGAGAGAGAGAGAGAGAGAGAGAGAGAGAGAGAGAGAGAGAGAGAGAGAGAGAGAGAGAGAGAGAGAGAGAGA